CCCCAAAACCCCAAAACCCCAAAACCCCAACTTCTTTACAAATCTTTGAAATAATTAAAATTTACGACTTTTATCAAAAATGAGCGAAGATAGAATTAAAAGGGCAGTCGACTTCTTACGAAACAATAAGATAGAAAATGTGAATCAAGATGAGAAGATCAGCTATTTGAAAAGCAAGATGACAGAAGAAGAACTCAGTGAGGCTCTAAACAGGATGAACAAGAAGAATGAACAGAAGGAAGAGGCCAAAGTTATAAACACCACATCAAACCAGCTAGCTCAACCAAGTTATACAGTCCCTTCAATTGGAGGAGGATCCTATCCCCCTTCAACTGGAGGAGGATACCATCCTCCTCCACCTCGAAGTTCGGCTAGGGGATCTTCCCTGATGAATGCAGTGAATATAGGAGCAATCTCAGCTGTTTCCTCTATAGGTATCTCCTACCTTATCAACAATATCAAGGATAAGAAAGAAAAGATGGTTTTCGAGTGCATGAAGGACTTCCAAGAGCAGAGCGTCAACTCTCTTCAGGCAAAAATCAACGAACTTCAGGAAGAGAATGCCATGCTTAAGTCTAAAATGCTCACCGAGGCAGATGTCAAGATGATTATTTCAAAAGCAATGGACAACAGAATGGTTAAGTCTGATCATGATGAGGATTTTCAGAGGAGAAACTCTCAATCTCTCAATGAACCCATCAGTCTCCAGATCAAAGGAGCCAAAGGAAGATTCCTAGGCAGTGCCAACAAGAACAACAACCTACGACAATCCGTCACTGGAAGTAACGACTCTGATGACAAGAAGGAGCCTACCACAGAACTTTGTGAGAGCATGAATAAGTTCTTAAGACATGCACAGGAAAACAACAGCGAAGTTATGAGAGAAATGAAGACAATGAACAAGAACATGTCATCTTGTTTCACCACTCTTTCCCTGGCCCTAAACAAGCTTAGTAGTAAGCTTGGATCGAGCGAGGATGAGAAGCCCAAGGATCTACCAAATCTCCCTCCTGTGAACACAGGAGCTGCTGGTTTCCTGACCAAGACACAAAACTTGGCTACTTCTTCACATATCAAATCCAGACAAGAAGAGATTAAGAAAGATGAGACAAAGATCGAGAGCCTAAACAAATTCCTTATTGGTGACCAAGAGGATAGCAAGAAGGAAACTGTCACACCGGATGGAGACAAGAAGGAAGATGAAGGCCAGGAAGAAGAGACAAAGGATGTGAATGACCCTCAAGACTCCAACCCTAAAATTGAGGAAGAAACATCCCTAAAATCTCCTATCGATGACGTACTAAAAATAGGTGCTTCAGTGAATAGTCCTCCTGAGCCTAGCTCTGAGGAGCAGAAGTCGAATACTCTATCACAGGTAGAGCCATCCCTGACTGCTTTTATTGAGTCCTTATCTGACTTATCACCTGAGGACAAGAAGCACTGTATATCTCGCCTTTGCTCTTTATTCTCAACGATGCTGAACAATCAAGCTAAAGGTCAATTCAAGATTATGTTGAGTAACAAGATGTTCGCAAAAATTGTTGAAAACAAGAAAGATGAGTTCATCCAACTGATTACAGGCCTCAGCTTCGTGGAGAAAAGCAAAGACTTATATGAGGCAGGCGACCCAGAAGTCATGAGAAGTGTGCTAAATGACACTGAGCTGATCAAACTTCTGAGACAACATGCTTCTTAAGATAAAATTGCTCTCTTAAGAATAGGAGAAAGCTTTCGCTTACCCATGGGCATGTAATGTTACTCACAAGCAGCAGATATTGGTAGGGAAGGCTGGACCTTTAAATTAGATTTCTAAAATTTGGCTATTAACCTAAACGTCCTCTTACAACAGCTTTTGACTCTTTGATAGCTCATTATACCACATTTAATCAATTTATTAAAGCCAAAATCTGTTTTAGAAAAAGGGGTTTTGGGGTTTTGGGGTTTTGGGGTTTTGGGG